GCCTCCTCGTATGACCACTACTCTGACTCGTTTCCGCCCTTAATTGCTCCGTCGCATCGATTTGAGCCTTCAAATACTTTGCCTGATCAATCGTGAGGGACCCTCCTTTCTGTAGCTGTTTTCTTTTCGTACGACGACGGCGGCTAAGGCGGTCGTTTGCATCTCGAAGTTCGGCGAGGTCATGGCGCATAAGGGTCTGCTCGTGTACCATCATTGTGATTCCTTTATTTAACTGCCGCAGGCTCTCAATAATGGACGACGGAGAGCTATTCTGGTGTCGTACGATGCGATTTTTGATATACTCCGTCTGCGATTCGGCCTCAATTGGGTTGTTCGGCGTCTTTGAAACCCATGGGAGTGGTAGTCCAGCAGAGGAACCTGGCGGTGTCGGCGTATGAAACTTCACATCTAGCTGTGAAATCACATAATTCGGGTCGTACGGTACTAGGCCAGTCGCTCGAAAGCCTGCCTGGATGTTTGACTTTGTCATCGCAGCGTCGTACGCCTTATAAAAGGCAGGGAGGAAGTCCTCCTTCGCGATGTGGGTAATGTGCGCCCGCATAAGACCTTCGATTTCATTTCCGTACGCCCGTTTGAGAGGGCTAAAGCACCCAACATCGAGTGGCTGGAGCTTATGTGACGAATGAGCAGGCATACAGAGCGTCACAATGTTCTGGTCCTTGCAGTACAGCTCGAAATCGACGGAATGGTGGCTCTCGTGGCCGTCGAGGATGAGGAGGCGGTAGGTGCCCTTCGTACGACTCTTCGTATGGAAATCGAAGTGTTTTACCCATTCTAGACCTCTCTCGTTCGTCGTCCAGCCGTTCTCTGAAAGCGCGATTACCCAGTCGGGCGGTAGAGGGCTATTCGCGGTCCAGGAGTCGAGGTGGACCTTCCCCGCGAAGATAATATATGGTGGGATCGAATAGCCGTACGACGCGATACCCTGGATTACTGTAACCCATTCCTGATTGCCTTGTTGTACGGCTCTTGGCCTCCCGCGTCGATCGGAGGTCGTAACGACAGTGTCGGCGGAGATCTTGCCCATCGCGAAGCCCGTTTCGTCGAAGTTATAGATATCGTCATTGTGGATCCCGTATTTCGCGATTATATTTCGTACGAGCTCAAACCACGCGCGATACGCGTCCGGATCCTCGCAGAGGACCCTCTGGTAGTCGATTCTCCGATTAAAACGCGTACGGAGCTCAGGTCGTCGTCGAACGAAGGTTGAGGCCCAGTTCGTCCCGACGCGTGGCGCGTCGCGTTCACGAAGGAGTCGATCCACCATTTCTCGAACACCACTCAAGCGCGGCGGAAACGATCGCGAATCTAGGTCGATTATGTATCGTACGATGCTACCCTCTTCGTATGAGGTTAATTTCTGGCAGGGTGGTCGGATATCGTGTTTCGCAGCTCGGCCGTGGTATCGCTGCTGGAGTGTCGTACGAGATACATTGTAGATCTGCGCAGCCTTTCGTACGCTTAATTTTGGGTCGGATTGGAGCGCATTTAACGCTAGAACCACATCACTTTCAATTGATTGTCGTCCCATGATTAAAGGTGGAGAAAAAGAAGGAAGTGAACCTCAATGAAATTGCAGTAAGGTGACTCGTTCACCCGTGTGACCCGCTCACCCGTGGATTACGTTAGCCTATTTTCCTATTAAATTTTTATTTTCAGATTTTTAGAGCTAATATTCATAGAGATATAAGTATTTTAGACGATAAAGTCATTTGTATGTGTTAATTATAGGAGAGTTTTACATTTTAGAATTCTTTTACTTAAGAATTAATAAAATAATCTATAAATAGGTTTAGTAGGACATTGTAGTATAGCCTAATAGAGCTATTAATCCTAACTCTAAAAATACTTAAAGTAGGTCAATAGCTAATTTATTAGCTGAGTTATAGCCGAGTGACAAGGTAGCGATTTTAGCGATTTTGGTGGGGTTTGGGGTGGTCGCGAAGTACCCTGGTCGCGAGACGGGGGGCAGACTTACCCGATGGGAGACCTGGGGGCTCTTCTTCACCGCGGTCGGCAGGGCGACCTTTGACGTGCCTTTCTTGCCGCCACTGTACAAGGACAGCGCCGGACAGATGAGCTTGCGCCAGTCTGCCACTCAGATGAGTGATAAGTGCCTCGAGTATTGTCTTACACTGGACTGCATGAACGACCTCCAGCTCATGTTGCAGGTGAAGAACTTTATTCTGCATTCGAACGTGGACGGTGATCAGAGTAAGTTTTGGCTCTGTCTTGTTGATCACACACAAAATGCGGCTGATGCTAACATGTAACAAGGTTACGACGCCTGGCGCCGCCTCGGCGACTGCATCGCATCACTCTACGCCCTGGGCTACCATCAAAAGATCGAAACCAAACCCCCAGAGGTCCCCTTCTTTCTAGCCGAGTTCCGCCGCACCGCATTCGCCTATAGTTACTCGGCGGACAAGAACGTCGCCATCTTCCTCGGCCGCCCCCCACGAATCAGCCGGCGATTCTGTTACTTCCAGGGTCCGCTGTTCTATGAACGTGTTGAGCACGGCGGTGCTGGTGCTGGTGACAGCCTATCGAATCACGGTGACCAGCCAAGCGCTGATATCGACTTTGAGGCTTCGCGGACGTGGTTCTCGTGGAGAACCGACACGGCTATCACGTACCGTGCGTTCGCCCGGTGGTCAGCTATGTGTGCGGCTCTCAAAAAGGAGATATTGGAGCTTCTGAAATGATAGGAAGGCGCCAGACTGCCTGCCAAGAGCCAGGTAAGGTCCTTCTCTCGCTACAATCTTCCTGGCCGAGAATATAAAGCAGTCTCATGCTAGTCTCATTTGCACCCTTGGAACACAGTGCTGATCAATCACTTGAATCGCAGAGCCACACAAGCACGCGCACAAGCCCAATGGGCTGCTCTGCCCGCACACTTCAAGCTCGAGAACAACTCTCTCAAGCACCATATGGCCGCTGCTCCCTCGGCCACAGCCACACCGACACCAGCTACTCCAGGCGTGTCCGACATCGCCGCCCCACCGATGACGCATTGCATGACGGCGTTCCAGCGAGACTTTATCGCCAGCGTGCGCCTGGACTACCTCCACGTGCTGTTCCTCCTGCGTTTGGTGTTCATGAACTCCTTTGCCGAGCCGGACGCCAGCATGGTCGAGATCTCCGAGGGGATCTTGGAGCTGGTTGTGGACATTGTGCTGGTGAGAGACCAGCTGGCCAACTCGGGTACCAATCTGTCATGGAAGATGTGTCAAGACCCTCCCTGCACGGCTTTTGCGCTCGCCGTGGGGAAACTGGATTGCTGACATGGCCTGTGATATGGCCACTGCAGGTGACATACTACGGCCTCCCCGCGGTGGGTATCCTGCTGCTGGCCATTATCCGGCGGCACAAATCGACCACCGCCACGAGAACGAATGATGCAACACAACCCGCACCGGCGCCACCAGTCAACCAGAGTAAACTCCTCCGCCTGCTAATCGTCCTCGTCGCGGAGCTGGAGACCGGCACGCTCGCCAAGCCCGACGAGCCGAACTATGGTCTGGTGTCGACGGCGACGGAGACAATTCAGGGGTTCTTGAACTCTGTGCAGCTCATGGGCGGTGGCGGTGGTGGTGGCGGTCATGGGTATCCCGTCTCGAATCACGTAGGTCGGCAGCGCAGCGATCATGTACTGGTCCAGCGGGACGTCGGTGGTGGGCCGCAGCACGGCGCTGCACAGGGTGATACCCACGGAACCCGAGCGAAACGTGCGCGTCTTCAGCACAACCAGGCCCAGCACCAAAACTATAACCACGGCCCTGACGGAGATTCCATTGCTGTCAATGAAACGAGTCAAGCACATGACCAGCAGCTCCCAGCTTCCCGCGCTGCTGGAATCGACGACGGAATAAGCAATCGGGGACAGCGACTCCCTTCGTTCAACCAAGCGGCCATGGCAGCACCAGCAGAGGCAGGGCATGATGCGGATCAAAGCTTGCAGCAGCACCAGCAACAACAGCAACAGCATGATCCGATGCTGTTATCCCAGTTCGATCTCGACACGTGGGACTACGAGGTCGGATTCTGGCAGAGCCTGGCGGACTGGTCTTCTGTTGCACTTGACAACAACAACACCGGTGGGAACAGCAACACTGGGCTCGGAGGAGGTGGTGGTGGGGTGAATTTATGAAATCTGTCTGTCTCCATTTTACCGCGTTAGAGAGGTCTACATTGATTATATAGAAGGATAGAATTGAGTCTATGGAGGTCGTAATAAAGTTTAGTTGTCCGTCTAAGTCCTGAGTCTGCCGTCGTAGTGGGTGGGGTCACAATGCTGTTCCACTCTTTTGGTGTGTGGTGAGTGGGCCGGCAACAGTGGAACTCAAATGCTCTTCTGCGAGAGGGCCAACAGGTGCTTCAGCAGTGTACGCGGCAGCACGACGGGTACCAATGATCCAGTTCCTCGCAATGTTCTTTCAATAACCAATCACTGTTGGTGTGGTCAGTCTTGTGGTAGGGTAGTACGCGTATGAGAGAATGGCTTAACTTCAACACCGATCGTACAACTTCACCCTATTGTCTCCTAAGCTTGCTTCAGTGTCTGGCCGGAGCATCGTACTGCCATTCGTCCTCGGCTTCAATGTGTATCTGCGGGTCGAAGGTGTTCGACTGAGGGTCATGGACATTGTCGGGATCGTTGTGGGTGTCCGTGAAGTATGCCCCAGTGCCGGTGGTATAGTACTCTTGCAGCATCGTGGTCGAGGTCGGATGGGTGTAGCAGGTTGGGTCGAGGCAGGGAAATGCGGTGCAGAAGGGGCCGTATGAGGACGTGCCATCGGGATGGAACAGGTCGTCGTCCGGACTGTAGGCTTGGTAGGGATAATGGAGAGGATCCTCGAGGGAGGAGGCTTGTGTCGTGGCAGATTCGTTCGCGGTGGTCGAGCCTTGTCCGTGTGGGGATGTGTGGTAGTCGACTGTACTGGGTGTGTACGTGCTGCCCCGGGAGACGAGTCGCGAGTGGTTATTCCCCGTCACGACGAGGTGATGAGGGAGGCAAGCAGTTGCTGCAACGGAATCTGATGTAGCGACTTCTCTGCTGGCTGCGTTCTGAGAGTCAGAAGGGTTCTGGTGATGACGAGCTGTTCGAGCTGAATAACAGGCCTTCGACTTGTGATGTTTTGGGTCATCTCCCGTATGTGATGAACTCATACTGAGACGCCAGGGGAAAGGAGATTAGAGAATGTGATAATGGTTGAAAGCGTTCGTATGGAGTTTTGATGGGGAGTTGCGCAGTGTTGATGGTCGACGAGCACTAAGAAAGCCCCAGAGAAAGTTGGCCATGTTGGGCACTCGCGATATTTATGGGCAAAAGATCAGGCGTTGAATCAGAAGGTCGCTTGTCTGTTAGGTTATCAGCACGTATATATCCTGGGGCAGGCCGTGCTGCCGACTTGATGGATGACTCGCGACACACGGGCTGATGGGCGGAGTCCTTTGCCGTGCCGGCGGAATGGCGGCGGTAAACTACCTACCTACCGCGTGACTAGCTATTTTGAGCAGCGTGCATCGTGCAACGCGGGGGCGCTAATGCAAGCCGACTGGGCCTGTTTCTGATGTGTCTTCTAGCTGGCCGTCACCGGGCATGGTCCAGCCAGCTATTAGCCATCAACGGCGAGCCGCCAGTGGTCACGGTTTTTGTCGCGTGGGAAGGGTGCGGCCAGATTTTGGCATGGCCAACCTGCTCTACTCCGCGCCATCCTCGGCGGGGACCTCAAGGCGATCTGCGCGGCGGATCGAACCCTGCATACCGAACAGCGGCTCAAGGACGGCACGAGCATCAGGGAAGGATGAGGCTGCATTGACCGAGCCACGGCTGGCACTTCACGTGGGTGCGCTATGGAACCAACATCGGTTTCTCGTTGGACTTCTCAATCCGGCACGAGCCAGGTCGATGTAGTGGCTGTTCCTACATATGCGCAGCCGAGGCCATCGACAAGGGTTTGCGAGCTCGCGCACAGACGAAAAGGTTGTGAAGCAGCAGCAGCACGGGAGCAAGTCCGTGGTGGGTTCGATTTGGCATTGTGAGGATGGGAACGGGAACGACTCGAGCTCGTGCCTTGCGCATGCGTGCAGTGCTAGAGACACACCCTAAGGTGGCCAGCACTTGCTGAGTAGTGCCCAAGGATTCCGGACACGCTGGGACAGTGGCGGAGCGAGGCGCGAGGTGAGGTGGGCCAACCTAAAACTGGCGCATTTGCTTGGAGCGGAACGTACAACTGAGGGAAATGCGCCAGTTTTAGGTTGGCTCACCCCATGGCGCATTCGTTGTTCAGTGGGCTAGGCTAGGTGTGCTGGGCCTGAGGTCCTGTCGAGCTGCCAGCCTCGCCAGCATGCACGACCACGGCTGGAGCGTCGTGGAAGCACGAGGGGCGGGCCTAGAGTCAAGACCCCACGTCCATTTGCGTCATGTCCAGCGGCCGACAGAGCGCTGGCTGTTCCGCGGGTTGACGGTGCGCTAGTAACTAGTCAGTCAGGACTCTGTTCGTGCTGTTCGCGAAATGGTGCAGCCTTCCATTGCCTGGCCTTACATTCATGGTGTGTCGGTGCGCAGATCAAGTCCTACCGGCGCATCTTCGGCGCCAGGCCTCAGCAAATAGACCCACCTGGCACAGTCCCGCGCGCCCAGCACTGGCGCCAATGAAATGGGGTTGAGTCAGTGGGCGGGCAAAGGCTGTCTGTGGCCGCCCCAATATAACGCACATAGGCACGATCCTAGATGTTCACGACGAGACACAGGGTCCGGCAAAATTCGACCACGCTACGATTGGGCGGTGGGCGGTTGCGCTTCAGATCGAACCGACGAACCTCGCTAGTAGATGTCATATGTTCGTGGCCGGCATCGAAACCTGATAATCCCTGTTCCCCACACGCTCGTCCTCCGTCTCCCTGGATCGCGAGCGCCTGGCCAGATTCTGGACCGCACCGCAAGGTATGGAGTGATTCAAGGACAAGGGGACAAGGCCTGCCGCCCGGAGTGCAACTAGTTGCAAAAGGTGGCCGATCAGACGGAACCATAGCACGAAATCCGCCGCTCACTCGCGGATGACTGGCATCAGCGAGGCTGCCTGACTAATGTGTGCGTCGAAAGTGCCCGGGAGGATTCCTGACCGTCATTCCGGGCGGTAGTGACCGTCAGTACCAGGGGCAAGCAGGGGTCGTGCCATAGTCAAGGCCGGCCAGGGTTCACCCCCTGTCGGTGCGAGTGCGTTCACTACCGTGACGGTCATTGCCGCAGGGGGTTGAGGGCGGCTGGACCCTTTTTTCCGTTTGAACCTAACCTTAACCTCAGCTAACCCTGGTCGTCTCTCTCCTCCCCTCTCATCAAACAACCCATAATACATACCGCGGCCTGGACGGGCTCGCAACTTGTAGGGCGAAAGCCATCGTAGTCACTGGTTTTACGCGCACAACAGAAATACACCTCATATATACTATCTTCCTCTTCGATCTGACACTCAATTTGTTATTGAGGACAGTAAACAGCCACCCACCGCAAGCAGATTATCGTTGTCTAGCGATGGCGATCCGCTACGAGGCCGACGCTGGTTGCACCGGGGGCCAGGTCGGACTGCTGAGCTGGCCTGCGGCTGACGCCAGTAGTAGCCAGGAGCATCGCGTCCTCCTCTGCGTCTCGTGCAGGGTTGGGATCCGGCCGGCCGACGGCATACGGCTACACTTCTGGCGGACGCACCGTCTCAAGGGCGAGGCAATACGCCAGATCGTCGACTACAGCTACGCCGCCGAGCCGATCGCGAACCCGCACACCGTACCAGTGCCAGCCGACGGATCACCACATATAGAGCAGCTGCCGGTCTTAGACGGCTTTAGCCGCTTGGACTGCCGTTTCCCGACGACGAGCCCGAAGCTAATCAGGGGTCCATCGCTCGCAAGCAGGAAACGACCAGGCGACTAGCGGCCGTGGTAGTAACAGCGGTTGGAGCGAGGTACGGCTCCAGACCCTTTCGCCGGGGAGCCATGCCCGGTACTGGGTAGTCGAGCAAAGAACGCGCGGCACGACAGGTTCAGGCACAACTACCGAGACCTCCTCACAGCACGTCTTACTCGAACGGGTTGCGAGATACGAAGAGAACCTAGCTACGGAGCTAGAGGAGACGCGCCGGACGGCAGACAGCCGGCAGGGAGCCGACTTCGAGTCGACGTGGGTCCGCGAGATGGGCTGGGCCAGGCACCTAGCCGGCAGCGACCTCAGTGAGCATTTCCTGGCGAGCCGGAACGCCCTCACGGCGACGGAGCGCGCTAAGCTGTGGGCGGAGGCAGACATCGCCGAGCACGAGCGCCTCCTCCGGCTCGGGGCCAGCTTCGAACGGCTCGTCGCGAGAGGAATCGAGCGGACAGGTCAGGTGCCAAAGGAGGTACTCCGATACCTAGCTAGCGTAGACGCTGACCGCCCGGCCGCTGCCCCGTTCAGGTCGGAGAACGGCCAGGATACCGAGGATCGGTACCAGGCCTACTGGAAGCGCTACCTCTACTACTGCGTCCGGGCTGGGCGGCTTGGCCGAGACGAGGCCACGAAGAAGTTCCGGATCCGGTTTAACGACGCCCAGTGGGCTGAGCTCGAGGAAATCATCAGGCGGCTCGACAGCAGCGACAACAGCGACCGGGAGAACGAAGGCGACGGGACGTCTCCAGCCTCGTCGACCTACGTCGGGTCCGAAGAGCTAGCAACTCCGGGGTACGAGGCAGGCGAGGGAGAGGACGCGGCCGAGGACCCAATAGACAGGGTTGTAATGGCCTTCTGCGTCGAGTCGCTCCAGCAGAAGGTCGCCGTCTATCTATTCCACAACCCGCTACTACACTTCACGGCCGTGCTCAGGATCAGTAGTTCCCGGAAGGGCTACGCCTGGCGGCCAGCGACCGAGTTCACAACACAGGTAGCCGGGCTGGTCTGGTGCGCCCGTCTTATCCTCCTAGAGCATATCTTCGAGTCAGAAAAAGCCGGCGAGGATATGGGCGAGGAAGCTATCGAGCACTTCCGCACGCAGCATCGCGACTGGCTCGCAGACGGCTCGTTCTCGCCGTTTAGCGCGATGATCCGGATAATGACGTACGGCAAGGGCTACCGGAAGAAAGAGGGGGGTACGCCACGGCTGATGTGGGAGGATAACAAGGAGGCCCTGCGATATCTCGGCCAGCGCATCCCGCTCGACGACTTCCGGGTCATGGCAGCTAGCATCGTGGCAGACGCGGAGGAGCTGCTGGACGAGCTCATGTTTAGGGAGTGGGTCCCGCTGGGCTAGATCGTCGTGCTCCGACGGATTACAGACAGCCTTAGCTTCGAGGGGCCCGGGGCGTCGTTCGCTACGCACGAGAAGAATAGCTGGCTCGAGCCGGGCTTCCGGAAGCTGCTCGGTCCCGGTACCGCCCAGCTCTGGGACGACGAGGTGGGCAACTTCCTCATGGTATAGGTCCAGTAGTGGCTCAGCCAGCTCCAGTCGTTCCGCCAGGCCCTGCTCGTCAGCACACGCACGTGGGGAGGCCAGCCGGGGAGAGGGCCGCAGATTATAACGATCCGGCAGTGCGACACGAAGGATATGCTCCGGAACGTCTTTCTGTTCGACGGCCAGGTAATGCTAGTAACGGACCGCGACAAGGGTAAGGCGATCCGCGGTATCGGCCGAAAGGTAGCCCGTTTCTTACTAGAGACGGTCGGACGACTAATGGTTGCTTATATCCTATGGGTCCTGCCGCTCGAGAGACTACTCCTCACGGAGACGAAGGGCCTGGGGCTGTCTAAGCTACTCGATGCCTGGCTCTGGAAAGATAGCCGGAGAGGGATCTGGACGACTCCCGAGCTGAGTAATAAGCTAGCAGCAGTTACGACAGAGCACATCGGTGTTAAGCTAGGCGTGGCTAACTACCGCCACGTCGCAATCGAGCTCGGCCGACATATCCGAGTGGCGACAACAGGGCTCGGAACCGGGGTCGACATCGAAGGCATCGTTGCAATTATCCACGGGGAGCAGCGGTACGGGCTTGTCGACTTCGTCCAGCAGACGGGCCGCGGCGGGAGGAAGGCCGGGGAGGAGGTAGAGTCGGTTGTAGTACTAGGCAGGGCGGCTGTGTACCAGGGCCGGCAGGCGAGCGACGTAGATCAGCTGAACCGGCAGGCGGTCGAGCGTTTCACGCAGACGCCGGACTGCCGGAGGCTCGTGCTTGGGGCGTTCATGGACGGGATCGCGCAGGACTGCGACAGTCTCTAGGCGGTGCGCTGTGACCGGTGCCGGTAGCTCACAGGGGTACAGGTCGACGTGCTCGACGAGGACATGGACGTGGACGTGGACGATGGCAGCAGTACTGGGGACTGGCACTCGGCAGTAGACGAGGCAGCGGAGGACTGTCTCCGGAGGGACAACAAGGAGAGACAGGAGGATCCGGAAGCTGCTGGAGTGGGTAGAGTCGATAGAGGGCAAGTGCGTAGTGTGCTACGTCAAGTGGTGCCACCAGGGCCGGGCAGAGGGTCGGCAGAGGACGTACGAGCACGAGTTCCGGGGCTGCAAGGTGCTAGGAGGATCGGATACGTATATGGCATGGCGGCGGCAGCTCCGGTTTAAGGAGTACTCGTGCTGCTGGACGTGTGGTCTCCCGCAGGCTTAGTGTAAGTGGGGAGAGACGGGGAAGTGCCGGTGGGGAGATCGAGTGATGCCGGTGGTCTGGCTGGCTACAGCTAGCAGAAAGCTTGAGCAGCTGATCTGGCGAGAGCTCGAGGTCGATTTATCGGAGAAGGAGGAATTTATAGGATGGCTCGGGAGGGTAAGAACGGTAGAGGACGCGGAGGGGACGAATATGGTCGCAGCTTGGAAGGCGATAGTAGAGGCAGAGTGTTTCGAGTAGGGAAGACGAGTTATAGGAAGATATTAGAAATGTGTTTTAGGTTGTTCGATTAATAAATTATAGTAACGTAATCCACAAGCGACCCGCCCATACAAGCGACCCGCCCACTTTCTTCCCTCTAAACAAATCCTCAATCTTTTCCTTCATTCTCCCACCATTACCTCTTATGGCGCAATCTAAAGAACACGACCTTATCTTAGGGCTAAACACGCTTCAATCAAACCCGAAATTAAGTGTTCGAAAGGCTGCATCAATCTATAATGTCCCACGTACAACCCTCCGAGATCGACGACGTGGCGTAGAGCGCAAACGTGATACCCGACCACATAACCAGAAATTGACCCCGTACGAAGAGGAGAGCATCGTACGATACGTAATCGACCTAGATTCGCGATCATTTCCGCCGCGACTTAGTGGTGTTCGAGCAATGGCGGATCGACTCCTCCGCGCACGCGACGCGCCGCGCGTCGGAACGAACTGGGCTACAAACTTCGTACGACGACGACCTGAGCTCCGAACGCGTTTTAATCGAAGAATCAACTATCAGAGAGTCCTCTGCGAAGATCCGGACGCGTATCGCGCGTGGTTTACCCTCGTACGGAATATAATCGCGAAATACGGTATCTACAATGACGATATCTACAACTTCGACGAGACGGGCTTCGCGATGGGTAAGATCTCCGCCGAGACTGTGGTTACGACCTCCGATCGACGCGGCAAGCCAAGAGCCGTACAACAAGGCAATCAGGAATGGGTTACAGTAATCCAGGGTATCGGGTCGTACGGCTATTCGATCCCACCATATATTATCTTCGCGGGGAAGGTCCACCTCGACTCCTGGACCGCGAATAGCCCTCTACCGGCCGACTGGGTAATCGCGCTTTCAGACAATGGCTGGACGACGAACGAGAGAGGTCTAGAATGGGTAAAACACTTCGATTTCCATACAAAGAGTCGTACGAAGGGTACCCACCGCCTCCTTATCCTCGACGGCCACGAGAGCCACCATTCCGTCGATTTCGAGCTCTACTGCAAGGAACAGAATATTGTTACCCTCTGTATGCCTGCTCATTCGTCGCATAAGCTCCAGCCTCTCGATGTTGGGTGTTTTGGACCTCTGAAACGGGCGTACGGTAAAGAAATCGAAGGTCTAATGCGGGCGCACGTAACCCACGTTTCAAAGGAGGACTTCCTCCCTGCCTTTTATAAGGCGTACGACGCTGCAATGACCAAATCAAACATCCAGGCAGGCTTCAGAGCGACAGGCCTAGTACCGTACGACCCGAATTATGTGATTTCACAGCTAGATGTGAAGTTTCATACGCCGATACCGCCAGGTTCCTCTGCTGGACTACCACCCCCTTGGGTTTCAAAGACGCCGAACAACCCAATTGAGGCCGAATCGCAGACGGAGTATATTAAAAATCGCATCGTACGACACCAGAATAGCTCACCGTCGTCCATAATCGCAAGCCTTAAGCAGCTAAATAAAGGAATCGCGATGATGGTGCACGAGCAGACCCTTATGCGCCACGACCTCGCAGAACTTCGAGATGCGAACGACCGCCTCAGCCGCCGTCGTCGTACGAAAAGAAAGCAGCTACAGAAAGGAGGGTCCCTCACGATTGACCAGGCAAAGGATTTGAAGGCTCAAATCGACGCGACGGAGCAGTTGAGGGCGGAAACGAGTCAGAATAGTGGTCGTACGAGGAGGCCCGAAACGCGCGCGCGGCGATGTGGCGTCTGCGGCGAGCCCGGCCATAATGCTCGTACGTGTCAGAAAGTCGTATCTGCCTCTGAAGAAGAGGATTCTGAATAGTTTCAATTGATTTAAGGCGTTGTGGTTGAATTGTCTTATACATTGTCGTACGAGTACCTGGAGGGTGGCCCGCTTGCTTGTGTGGCCCGCTTGCTTGTGTGGCCCGCTTGCTTGTGGATTACGTTAAGTCTACTACCCTTAATTAAGGTTAATGTCACGATCCGGTCTCCGGGAGTCAAGCCGTCTAACCAGGCGCTAGGGTTTATGTTCTAAGAAAGTAGGTAGAACCTGCGCAATACTGACTCCGTGCTGTCGTGATCTCTGGGGGTTGTCGTTCGTGTCTCTTGCGAGATATCACACTTGGGTCAATTGAGTAACTAGGTCAAGTGAAGGGTAAGAGTAATACTTAGATTGATCGCTGAAGCACAAAGGTAGTGACTGTCTACAAGGAGATCCTCCGTGTTCTATATATCCTTTGTCCTTCAGTCCTGTTAGTTCCTGGATCGCTGGATATGCAGCGATCCCCATATCCTGGGATCACTTGGATATGTTGCGATCCACATATCCGTGTCCCTCATCCTTGTCGGGTCTGCTGACATAATGTTCGGATTACCTAACGCCTTCTTGGGGTGTGTCTCCCCGCGTGCATGACCTGCCCTTGTCCCTGGCCCGATCTTGCGACCTGTTGGTCGGGTCGTCGCGGTATTATACTAGATAACTAGGGAGCGGAGTATAATTGATAGCTTTTAAGACCGCTAAAGCAAAACGGTATAAATGCTTCTTTATTACTTCATTGCAATGTTACCGTACGTTGTATCTGCGGGAAGTCCCGATTTAGTATATAAGAGACCGCCCCGTCGCTCCTTTAGATAGAAAATCAAGCGCTCATTTGATCCTCATTATCCATCCGTGCCTGCGACATAACTACTTTAGAGAGATGGAATTAAGTGGCCCGGTGGATGCAGAGCCGCGCTCCAAGTAGGTTTTACGCACGTTCTTGTCCTCCTAGATACTGATACAGTCGACTATGATCAGCCTGAATATTTTCGAATGGTTCCCCAGCCTTCCCAATTCCAGGGACCCAATAGATTCTGTTTCCTGGGACTTCCCTCACCGTTGGTTGAACCAGAAAATTGCCGACCCCAAACATCGGGAACAAGTAATGCTGATTGAACAGATGTCCCGTAGCCCCTTGAGAAATAAATATTTTGCCTTGGAACCGGATATCAGGCTGTCGGGAGGAGGATAACGCGCCCCATGAACAGACCATATCGCGTTCATTGCAATAGTGCTCGATGTGTTGGAGGACATGCCCCCACGCCACGGTGGGATCGGGCGGATTGTCGAAGTGTAGCGCAGCATTACCGAAAGTATATACTTGAAGCTTTCTTAGGTTTGCGATTGATACTCTGGTATAGAGGTCGCGTAGAATGTGAGACGCGATAATGCCTCCTTGGCTGTGTGCGATAAGGACTACCCGGCTCACGTTTGCATCGTTGAGAAAACCTTCTAGGATTGGATAAGCCACGCGAGTCTCACTCGTTCGGAAGCCGAATGACCGTTGGAGAACGCATTCGACGATGTCGCCAAGAAACCCATAGGTGCGGTTATTGATGCCGAGGAGGGGCCGGCCGAAGAGATTGTGCAGAAGCTGAAGGTTCTGTCGTATGATGGTTCTACCCGTTGCTATTCCATTGATATAGACCCATCGCTCATGTTGGTTCAGGTTGCTCGCAGCTGGGGTAATTGTCGACGGAAAGACCTGTAGTGCAGGTCCATGCAGGATGTGCCAGAACAGAAACGAATGTATCCAGGTGAGAAGACCGATAATGAGGACGACAATAACCAACACGACGAAAACGAAAAGAATGATTGGAGCCTGGAGGATGCTCCAAAAAAGGAACCAAATAAGCGCGAAGACTGTAGAGCTGCAAAGAAAGAGCTCGTCGAGTGGCCTTGGAGTAAAGAAAGGCCATAGAATTTTGAACCCTAGAGTGAGATTGGACATCAGATTTCCGATGTCCTTCATGAACAATTGGTATGGCCCATTTCGATCTATCCCAATGGCTGGGTTGAAGAAAGTTGTAAGTGTGTCGGCCATATTGACATCCGTAATGCAGAAGCTCGAAAAAGGATCCAATGACGAGATAACCAAAATAGCGAGGGACGCGGAGCACATCCTCGAGGCTATGCTATATATAAGTTTCAGATCAACGCGTTGCTTCGACATGTGGAAATGTCGGCTATGCATGTGGCGAGGGCCATGCCAACCTTGATTCGTACAGCTTGGGGGTTAGCGCCACTGACACCGTCAGGTCGTCATTCCTAGAAGAGCTAAGCCCACATAGAGATACGTGGGCTGATCTTGTTAGCAAATGGCTAAAAGTGACGTCACGGGAATGTCACTCCTTGGGCAGTGGCTGGCTGCTGTCAGACAGTACGGGTATTCGGTCCATTGATGTCAGATTAGTTGATTCTCTGGTCTGGTGTTGTATCTGGGGACGTGTCTCTGCCCCTAAGATTCTCATGTATCCATATCCAATCTTAGGACCCTTAGCTCTGCACTGACCACCCTTCTTTTCAATAGTATCGTGTCCCCTGGATATGTGCACGGAGGAAAAGTTGATATTATAATGTATTACGAACGGAAACCTGGGGACCTTGAACCTACCGTGCAATAACTATCCCATGAGCTGTAATAAACCTCCAAGGCGTACCTCACCCCACTTAGCCCCTGTGATGACCTCTCGAACGGTCGCATTCTGTCGTGGACTTTCGAGGTCGGTTTCGGATCGCGCGCCGAGCGACGCGATCACATGCCTCGACTTCGTAAACTCATGGAACTATCGAACTCAAAGCTAATAATCATTAGTATCCCAGCCCGATTCAGCCTCGATGTGCTTGGCGAAACCTTCGCTTGATGTGTCCGAATCTTCGTACCAGGGCAAGCGGGTGACAAAAAAAGACGCACTCCAACCCATCCAACACAAGTATCCTTCAAACATTCCCTAACTTCTACAGAGGTTTCAGAAACTAGCGTGCGCAAGCAGCATGACTTGTGCTCTTTGAGCACGGACCAGGCAGTCCAGGAAGTGGGTCCGGTACATCAATGTTGACGTGGCACATCAAGAGAGGGCGCGGTACTTCTGGGGCCGGATCTCGGCCCACGCACGAAGTCAATCGGGCCAATCGGGCACGCTTCACCAGTCGGCGCCGCTTGACCGCTGAGAAGGTTTTGTCGGAGATGTTGAGAAAGGGAAATTGACGTGTCGCGGTAAAGTCGTTAGAAGGGATGTTCGTACGGTCGTGAAATCGGGGAAAGGAGAGAGGATGATGGCAGCCACGAGGCAATTGGCCGTCTTGTCGAGTCGCAGGTGTTCGGTGAGAGTGTGATATCAGAATTGAGGAGCACACTCTCTGCCAGCAAGACTGATGTTGCAGAAAAGAGTGTATGCAGTGGGTGAAGGAATGTGGGAAGGATGAGCGAGAAAGGGGGAACAGGACGGACGAGGCGGTCTTTTGATGCATGCATCATATGTGGGCGGTGATGACATAGAGATGACGGAGAAGTCGGGTGATGTGATGTGATAAGCCAACCTATCCTCAAGGCCCCTTTCCCAACACTTTAGCTCGCATTAAACTTCCAGTCGTGGAAAATAGTTTGTGGGTCTGGCCAGATCACACGCTGTCGAAGTCAGGACACGTAATCTATGCCTAATTGTCATGTCAAGCCTCTTCCAAGATGTGCTGCACGGGTGCAAGGAGATCCGTACCATAAGTTCCACGACATCCAACTTTATCATATTGTTACGGCGACAGATTATCTTCTCAGGTAGAGAATCCATCATGTTCTTCGTTCTACCGAATTCAATTCGATCTAGGCTCCGGCCTTTGGGCTCAATCCGTGCGACGTTGAGCATTCCCATGGATGCTGGACCTTTTCGATCTTGGTTTTCGTCGGAGTCTAAGACGCCGATATCAGAAGCCGAGACCGCGATTGTTAGGAAACCAAGCACCGCGGATGTAGTGGACGAGAATGGAGTAGAAGAGGCCGTCCCTCTCCCCGAACAGAAGGCGACCTTGACGTCTGAGATTAGCATTATTGTGAACCTGCCCGCTCAGCCATCGGGGACAGACTGGAAATGTGCGCGGCAAGGTGGGAGATCTCCCTTCACCTGCGCCAGGAAACATAACTAACCACAGGAAGCAGGAATGAGACTCCTCGCCACAGCTGTGGAAGAATCGATGGCGGCAAGTCCATCTTACAGCGCCTCATTTGAGCGCCGATCCTACATCGACGGGGTGTCATACCTTATGAAAGCCCTGCCAGCGGACCTGGATGAGACCGAAGCGACGATTCTGAGGCGCTCATTGCCACCATCTCTTGTCGATCAAATAGTACCGGTCGAGATGACACGGCCATACACGCTACAGCCCGCGGGCGGCCGCTCGTTTTTACATCGTGGGACGCAAATGGTGGTCTCGACGGTGATCGTGTGGCTCTGCTTTGTCTGGCCCTACATCCTGTCCCTCGTGAGGATGATGGTGCATTACGAGAGGAAGTACAAGTTCGGGGAGAATATCGTTGGCCAGGGCATACAACTCGCCAGCACCGTCGGGAGGAAAGGCATGAAATTATCCGGCGCTGTATATAACATGAGTGACGGTAAGGTGAGACAGGTGTTGGCGGACGCTCTGGCTAGGACGCTTCACAGCATAGCTGGAGGGGCTTGGGAAGGGGTCGAGCAAGGCTGGTCTACGGTTTGGAAGAAAGGGGATTAGACAGTACGCTCTATATACGACGGTTTGCGCATGACGGTCAGCGTATGATGTGCTCTGCTGGGATGGTCACTGCTGGGCGACTCGGTTTGCTTTCACGGCCAAGAAACCGCCACCCAGGACACCGAAGCTGGGGCTCCCCCGGGGTCACCACTGCCTCCAATCCTCTTCATTCTATACACCTGGAGCTTATATGACGGGCTCCAAGCCGCCCCAGGACCTGCGGGTTTGCTGACGACACAAAGATCGTAGGGTTCGGCAAGACAACGGAAACAAGCACCCGCATCCAGCAGGGGCACGGGATCTGTACCGACTAGATAGGGGATAAAGTTCGCGCCGACAAAGTACCAGGCGCTGCACTTTACCCGCGGGAGAAGCTGGCACAGGACACCTTTGCAGCTTGGCAATGGAGTCACCACCCGAGCTGTCAGAGAGGTAAAGCTGCTGGGAGTCATCCTCGACCGGAAGTTAGGAGTAAAAAGTGCACAATCTGCTCGTCAGAAGAGCTGACCCAAAAGATAACCCTAGACCAAATCGCAGCACCAACTTGGGGACCATATCTGAGTGTAGCAAGCTCGGCAATGAATTGCTCCTTTATCATCATGCCGTTGTCAAAAATTCTCTTGAAGTTCCACCTGTCGTGTCCGCTCCAACTGAAGCAACTTCTCCTACACCGAAACACCTGTCCAGGCAAGAGCGGGTAGGGCTGCCAAATTCTCCGCGGATAGGACGAAGTCAATGGCGGACCTAATTCGCTCCTTCACCTGGGTCTCGCGAGGCGTACGGTCCAGGCCAGCGTCAATGAGCTGTTTCAACTGATGGCACCTTCTCTCTCGATCAAGCTGGTCGTAAGGGAGTTCTCTTGGCGCACTGGTTCCAGAGGACATGCGGCATTCTCGGCGAGTTTGCTGGACAAGATTTTCTCGTACACCTCTACCAGTTCGCTTTCTCTATTTGGAGGGCCTCGTAGGGTCGACCACAGAGTCGTTCTGGGGGGTCGGGGTGGTGGCATCGGAGGAGGTTGCCGTGTCGGTGGCGGCAGAGCGGCGGGAACAGTGGCGCCGGCAGGACTTTCGTGGAGGCGGGAAGGCTCAGGCAGAGGCGTGACGGCAGGAGAGATATCCAACGGTCGAGGTTGAGTCGTCCCTGACAATGTCTGTCGTGGAGACCTGTCGCGGATATGCCGCCTCACCCACGAGGATACGGTATCTTTTTGTGGCGGAAGGGCGCCCCCTGTAAGATTGACCCTGCTTTGGGAGCTGTTACCCACGCAGGCTTCCACCAGCAACTCAGACTCAAGACTTGAGTGGCCACCCACAGAAGACCTGTCGGCTTTTCCCTCTTTTCCAGCTTCACTCCGGGAATCATTTCCACCGGAAGCTCCGCCTCGGGGGACAGGAACACGTCTTTGGTAGCTTGCTTTTGCTTTCCTGGGGTCTGCATCGCCAACCTCCAGATCCCCTCCAGTTGGTGGAGTTTCTGGGGTATGGCCATGCACAAATTCGCGGATTTTCTCCCTCGTGGCTTGTGCGACTTCTTCCTCGTTCCTGATGAAACTGAACCCAGGGTGCTCCCGCATATGCATTTCAAAGGCGACTGCGGAAGAGAAGTCCACATTCTCGTAGTTCTGATAACAGGCCAAGCATTTGTAGAACGCTCGGCGGTCGTGGAACGACCTGCATGCCGCAAGGTGGCTCGCAGCAAGCAAGCCTGAGGACACCAAGGCTTGTCCTCTACTTGAGAATCGAATGGCACGGTAGCTCCCAACCTCCAGGTAGCAGTACATGCAAGTGAAGCCCCATTGCGGGTTGGATGCGTCGTCCACGGCGTAGATGGAAAGCCCCTCGGCATCCGTTCTTCCACACTGGCACAGCAGGGCTCCGTAGCAGAATTCCCTCGACGGTTCCGATGCCTTCAGGGGCGGTTCAGGGGCGTCGACCCTCGCGGTTGTGCCGGCTCGGTTGCTGAACTCCCTCAAGGCGTCCTCTATGTCGGCCTTTAGGAGATTTGCCCTCTTAAGGAGCGCCTCCCTGCGTCGTTCAACTTTCTCGGCGTCCTTCCCATCTGCTTCAACCTTGGGAGCGTCTGCCTTCAGAGTTTCCAGCTCGAATAGCAGCGCGTTTAACTGGGGTCGAAGGGCAAAGACTTTGTGCTTTACTTCGTCTGCATACGTATTAACAAACAGCTATGTGACAAGAGCGGCACCAAGAACTACTTTACCATCCAGTTTCTCTCCAAATCCCCTCCCGAAGTAAGAAGCAAGACGGTTAAATAGGTGTGACAATTCAAATGTGCCACCTGCGATCTCTGGCTTGGATAGGCGTGGATTCTCGAGCTTCTCGGTCCTCATCCTAGGTGGGCGGGCGCGTAATTCTTGAATTTGGTGAACAGCGCCTATCACACAGCAGAGCGCCGAAATAACGGCCATTGCCGCCATTACGGGATCCGCCATCGGGAGTTTTCGACTCAGGCTGAGCGAGATTGATGTGTCGCAAGAGAGCTTCCCATCTTGGGTTCCTGGTTGGGATGAGAGCTGTATTTATTAACCAGCAATATGATCGAAAAGATCCACACCTTGTTGGCGGGGAGAGAGGCGATATCATCACACTGAATCAGCTCCATCACTTCTGCTTGCCTCTCTGTAGCGGAACTTTCCGAGAGGCTGGGCATGTGTTTCTGCCTCGGGGGACGTGTACGGCAGGCTATAGGGGTGACTGTTGCAAAACCCCCGAAATCACTGTCAAGGTGCCAAATTGGGTTAGCGGTGTAGTCGCACGGCCCCGCTGTACATTGCGCTTTGTACCTCTGCTGAAATTCTTGGAATTTTGGGCACATCACGGAAAATGGTATGATAGCCGCTACTCCGCAGCGAACCAGCATATTGCGTTTACACTTCTTCAAAGCAAGGTGCCGCCTCATGCGGTAGTCGGATTTGAAGCCGCACTGCTCAATTTCCCTTATTTCCCTAGTCCTCTTCCTCATCTTCCTCTTCTTCGTCTGGTTGATTGAGCTGCTGGACAAGGAGTCAGTACACGAACTTGCATCTGATGACATGACCAAGGCTCACAATCCATAGACGTGCAGCTTCAGCGATGACCTCCAGCGCTATAAGCTTCTCTCCTTAAAGCTCCTCTCAGCTACTTCGCCAAACGAAGCCAAGGCAGGAGCTGGTCGTGGAGTAGCAGGAGGGACCGCACCGCTGCCGCAAGCTCGTAGTTGTTGTGCTGCCCGCTGTGCAGCAGCACGCCATGCGTCGTCCGGTTCTTCATCCGCGCCGCTGAGCCGGCGGTTCAGGTCCCAAAAGGCACGCACGGCAGCAAGAGCCGCATCAGGAACCTAGAGACGCAGTTTGGTTAATGGCTCGCTACTTGACAGAACGCAGAAATGTCTTACTGGCCTGCATGTGTGGCCGTTCTTTGCGCAGTCCCAGCACGCAGCACCCGTATCTGCGCCGTGGGTATCAGCGTATGAGGTGTAGAATTCCGCGTATCCAAACGTACTATTTTGAGAGGCGCACTCATGGCCGGGAGCCTTGCTGGCGCGGGCGACGCACTGCCGGCATGGGAAGTGACGGATTGAGCCACGGGGAGGCGCCTTCTTCGTCTGCTTCTTCTTCTGCTCAGACGGGCAAGTTAGCATCCGTGACTTCGTATGAGGTCTTGCTGATTGTACGGTAATCTTGGCCGCGGGTTTGCGAAGGCTGGGTTGAATCAATCTTCTCCTCTTCGCCTCGGCGTTCCGGCCGAGAGAGTCCCCAGTCTCGCTAACGATATCGGGATCGACCGTGGGCATGACGCCGTTGTTGACCATGAGCTTTTCTTCGGACGTGATGTTTTAAAGGGAAGGTGGAACAACATTTGAAGGGATCTAGGGTTCTGTAAATATTGGTCCTACCCCCTGGTTCAGTCGGCTTCCACCAATGAGCGGCGTGACGCTAAGCCACTCAGGGCCTCTCGCCGCTGCGGGCCAGTTGCAATACCAACCCGTTCAACATCCATCTCTCAGCTGGAGGCTCCACGGGCGGCGAGGCGGCGCTTATTGCCATGAAAGGGTCCGTCCTCGGTGTGGGGACAGATATCGGTGGGAGCATCCGCGGACCGGCAGCGTTTTGTGGCATCTATGGCTTCAAGCCCACATCAAACACCCTGCCCATGCAAGGCTTCATAGCGAGTCCCTTCCCTGCCGAGCTCAACATCCTGGGTTCTACTGGCCCGATGTGCCGCAGTCTCAGAGATATGGACTTCTTTATGAGTAGAGTTCTAGCGGATAAGCCACATCTCTTGGATCCCAGGCTTGTACCAATCCCATGGACTGGCTTGCAGACGACCTCGACTAAGATTCTCAAGCTCGGGATCATCGAGAACGATGGCTTCGTGGAGCCACAACCTCCAGTCAAACGCGCCATTACCTGGGCACGTGAGCTTCTGACGGACCCCCGTCATGCAGGCGCTATTAGCATTAAGTCTTTCAAGATATCTGGTGCAGCGGAGGCCTGGCGCAAGGCCAGACGGATGTACTGGCCCGACGGCGGCTCAGGCTGTCGTGACGCGATCCTCTCGAGCGGCGAGCCACTCCATCCCTTGAGCGAGTGGATTTGGAAAGACGCCGAACCCTTCGGCATGCTTACAGCTGCCGATGTCAGTAACATGCGTGGTGACCGTGATAATTATCGTCTTGCGTTTGCCCGTGCCTGGGAAGAGCAGGATATCGACGTTCTCCTTTGCCCAGCCTACGTGGGACCTGCCTGTGCTCATGATACAGCCTTCACATGGACATACACATCACTCTACAACTTTGTGGACTATCCGGCGGTCGTTATTCCTACGCCGATTGTGACAGAGGCTGGGGAGCAGTACGATCCTTCATACGAGCCTTTGAGTGAAACCTGCGAACAGGTAAAGCAGCTTTGGGAGAAAACCGATTTCCAAGGAGCACCAGTAAACCTGCAGCTGGCAGCACGCAAGTACCACGACAATGAGCTTTTTGGAGCCCTCAGCAGGCTTAAGGATATTCTCGGTTTGAACTAGGCGAATGGCGGGACCTTTATTCGTCGTCAATCCATACTATTTGTAGCCATTGGCCTCGCCGCAGTTCATAGTATAGAACTTCAATCGTTTCGGGATGCTATTTGTACCATTGTGAGTTTCCCGGCTTACTCGAGACCTCCGTGTCCTAATTATTCGGGGTGGTACTCATGCCAAGCGTATGACGACCTAACCCCCTGCTGCTGCACACCAGAATGCGCATGACAGCAGAATGAGGACTTTTTCCACCATCACGACAAAACGTACTAATTAACGCCCCCAAACAAGGTCGAGAGTGCTGAACGCGTCAAGGCATCGAAGAAAACCCTACGTCCAAAGAGACGTACCGCGAAGTCAGATGACGATCAAGTTGTTGGGACGCAGACATCTCCATTCTTCCTCCTCTTCCTCCTTCCTTTCCTTGGCTCTGTATAAATCGAGATTACTTGGTCGAGCATGTACATCTTCCCAAGTGTCTAACAGAAGAGAATGATAGTTAGTTGAAGCATGAATCTAGCGGCTATCTGTAAAGGGATACTATCTGACTGATATTCTGCTTCTTCCTTCATCTTTCATCGTGCCGTGTTTGCCCTTCACGGTACCGACTACCAAGCGCTGGCTTTATGTCCTGATGACTATAAGACGTATAGTTAAATCGCTCCGTGAGCTCCCTCCCCTGATCCGCCTTTAGCCTAATCGTGCAGTGTTCTTTGTCCTGTCTTAAAGCCCAAAAACAATCCCCTGTTACTCTTAAGTTGGTACAACTACAGTACTAGCCAGATCAATAATCAAAGTATGACCTTACCATTGAGCTCTTACTTTTCTATCGCGGAGTCGAGCCAACTTTCGCAGGTCCCCGAATTCCTAATGGCCCTGGAGCTGGAGACTAAAAGATAACCATCGTCGTAGTCTACGGGCATGTTTCCAAGGTCGACGCCCATATGCTCCCATCCCAATTCTCCATGTCGTATCTATCATTTTCCATGTAGCCAAACGCAAATCCAGATCTGATGTCCGCCCCTTGGTCGTAAAATCCTGCGGTTCCTGGTACGTTTTCCCCACCGCAAGCATTGGCGATCACCTCCCATGCAGCCCTAAGGTCTGCGCTCGTGAAAGTGAATGGCTCATGGGTGTAGTTGATGACAAAGGCCTTTACCAGCCAACTAGGGTCAATGATGGTAAAGTTCTCCCGTATTTTAACTTCGCAAGTTCAGGAAAGTTGTCCATATGCTTAGGAAATGTGTCTCTGACGTTGCGAACAGCATCCCTGTTGAGTTTGATACCACAACCGCAGCGGACATCCTCAAATGTTCTTTCACGCTTAGGGAGGGTAGCGGCCGATAAAGTGGAGGGCAGCGCGATGTTGGATAAGTGCGGGTCAGCTTGGCCAGTAGCATGTTGGGGCCCAAGGTTGGGATGGCTTGGGACAGCCTATGGGGAGGCCACGCGGCAGTGGTAGCAAGTAGCAGGTAGATTTTATGTAAGAGCATCATGATATATCGATTTGTTTTGCTGTGGTGCCAGATTTGGTGGTAACGGAAGAGAGAAGCGGTCTGGACGATTGTCCTGCTAGCCAAGTTAAATACCCGTTGTATAATGGCTTGTTAATAGGAAGAGGATAACTACTGGTCCGCATTTCCTGCTGACCGTAGTATAACAAAGAGAAATGACATGCTCGAATATCAGTATAACGTAAAAAAAGTTACTGTATGTGTTGCATTGCAGTCGCTGTTCCGCTTCGTTGCGACATCAGCCGGTCTTTTGGGATCGCAGGCGATGCGGAGGACGTTGTCAAGAGGTGGTGTTGTGCGCCACACATTGCATGGATACGTCGCTCAGATAATAGTAAGGATTCATTGGGCTACCCATAACTTAGAGTTCGCCAAGCCTCCGGAGGGTGGTGGAATCAAGACACCTGGGCTCACACAGGGATGTCGCACCTAGCAACAAAAGCTCAAGGTAAATCATGCGTTGGCTCCGACCCTGACTCCCTACACCCTCGCCTTGAATGATCTGCTGAGGTGCGCCCGACCTCAGACTGGCATATTTCGTGGTACAAGACCACAGACAAGACGACACGCATGCGCCAGCTCTAGGCTGGGGACCCTCTCCTGCTGGGCGCGCTTGGGTCGGGCACAAAGAAATGCATGGGTAGGAGATTTGATGTTGGTGACGGGAGTGTGAAAGGTATCGTTTTCTTCTCCACTCCCATGGTCCAATGTAACTCACCCCCCCAACCCCCCCTCCCCCATGCGTTTCCAGTAGCCCGGCCATCCTACTGTAGCCTAGTTTTCCCGATCCACTGGGACCTATCAGCCATCGGACCTGGCTCCGATCGATACGACTCGCCCGCAGGCACAATGATCACATACCGTGGCCCCAACACAGTTTTGTCTAGTGCTAGACACCAGGTGCAGTGTGTGACAGCCCTATGTTCCTGGGAGCCCACAAGGCTCTGGTATGGGCTGAAGGTTGTGGAGCAAATCCTACGATCTGAGCTAAAAGCTTCGTTGGTGCTCGAGGATACTTTGATTGTTGCGCAAAAGCATAGCACTTCCATACTTGTGATCGTCACCGTTACTCGTCACTTCAGCTTGAACAGGCATTCTCTAAGCACCTCGATCAGCACCAAGATGGCGGGAAAGCCTTAGTATCGGAGCCTTATGGGCTCAAAAAGGATAGTCAACGGCAATAGGGTTCATCATTATTGGCTTCTGCTATGGCTCCTTCATCATGTCATTGCGGCCTCTGCTGCCGCTCCGAGCTTGCTGGGTACATCAATCCGGGCCAAGGCATATCGTTTCCGGTAACAGGCACGCCAGGACCCATGTTCATCTCCATCTCAGGTCCTACCGGCATGCCACTGTCCGGGCGCGTCTCTTGTCGCGGGCCCGGACCCATCCCCACGAGAGAATGCGACCCATAACGGTGCTCTTGGCTGCCAGGGATGGGCGTGTTCCAGTCGCTCCATGTTGCGCCTGCATGAGGCCCGCTTCCGCTCGGGTTCGCCATGCCTGCCTCGATATCGTGCGTATTGTTTGTCGATATTGGTGGGCGCCACATCATGGGCTGCCAGGTTTGTGACATTGGTGGTGCCCCACCCGGCGCATAAGGGTCCATTGAGGCGCCGGTCCGTGGAGTCGGCCCTGAGCTGTGCTCGTGGCCATGTGGTGGCTCCATTCTAATCTGTCCTTCGTAAGTGAATGGGTGACCAGGATTATAGGGCCCCCGGGATTCGGAGGTTGAAGTTGTGTGCCTGGATAGCCCGTGGACTGGCTGCACACCCCGGGGTCGGATACAGAAGGATCTGGATAGAAGCCAGTCCTCGAGGGCAAATCATATGACACATTGCCCCTTCTCGAAGAATCTGCCAGGCGCTGATTGGGTACCATCGAGGACATATGTGGTATCTGCCCTGATTCTTGAGCTGTGCGCTTGGCGGCCATATCGCGTGGTGTGTGTAAGGACCGGGCATCGTTTGCCAGCCGGTGATAATCATGTTCGATCCACGTTAGCACGCGTTGGATTATGTCGTTGATCGCAGCAGATAGTCTCTGTCCATTGTCTGCAAGTACGGGTACAATTGTCAGTCTCAAATATTGACAACCTTGTTGCGTCATGCTATTCCTCACGAAGAAGTTGGCTGGTCTCATTGATAATCATGAACCAGGACATCATGTCTCGCCGCAGGTCAAGGATATCATGCTCGTTCAGAATATGCCTTCTATGCCAATAGGACGTCAGATGCAGAAAGGCACCACTTGTATACGTCCCCAACGCAAGCCATGTGGCTTCAAGCCATCCAATTTTGTGCAGGGCCAGGAGACACCTGAGCAGGCGTTTCGAGTTCTCTTCGTTGGCCTGTAGAGTGCTGTCCAGGAGCGCGGGATCCTCGGACGGCAGCGCCATGGGATGGCGCAAGTACAGCTGAAGATTTAGGCTGGTGTAGTGGATATAGAGTGCGTGGAAGTCGCTGACTGCAGCGTCTGCGAGATCAGCCTCGGTAAGCTGAAGACTATCAGGGAGACTATCCTGCCAGTTCTTGAGCTGTTGTTCCAGTGCCTGTAGCGAGATGAGATATGCGGATGATTTGGATCGAATGCTGTATATGCTTGAGTACATATGCAGATACATCCTCGTGGCTTTCATAATCCAAAGACCAACGAGGAAAGGGCAGGCCGGAACTCCGATAGTGTTGCCGCTCTGCTCTTCGAGAGCTTCGTCGGATAATGCGTCCGGGTAATCGATGTCCATATCATGTAGGCCTATCGGCATCGGCCGTCCCGTGCGACCATGGATCGTGATTGTCAGCCACAAGATTGCCCACCATAATCTCTTGCGCATCTCTTCTTCCAGCCTGCCTGTGCGGACGTGCGAGGGGCGTGCTCGATTCAAACCCAGTTCCATTGCAAGGGATAGGGCCTGATTTGCGACATAGGCACTGACCCTAGGCTTCGAGAATCTCGTCGCGTGGAAAAGAATGAGTGCGATTGCTCGGACATCCTGGAGATTCCGCGACACGACAACCTCTGAAAATCTCCCAAGAGCATAGTGGTAGTGCTTCTCAGACCATATGGCTAGATGCGGTCGCTTCGAGTGATCGAGCGAGGTAAAGCTGATTTGACGCAATGTCGTGGCGAACACCACATGGATGCCAACAATGTCGGCGGGCGCTAATGAAGGCGATACAGGGTCTTCGTAAAGCAGTTTGAGATTCGACAAAAAGGTTGGCCGGTGCAGAATGGGCAGGAACGGATAGATATTTGCGAACCACCATTCCGCATACCGGAGTGCCTCACTCCATGGTGGAAGCTCGACATCTGTGGGACGCTGTAGGTTGAGCATCATATGCAAGATCATCTTCTCGCTTGGTGAATAGTGTAGGGGCACATCGGGAACGCGGAGCGAGGGATCTGGGAGATCAGTCTCTCCGAACGCGCCGAGATCGATGTCGTTTCCAAGAATGGATAGCGTCAAACTTTTGAAGGCAACAAGCTGTGGTCGATTTGGATTGGCGTCTTGAGAAACACTCAAAGAAGTGCTCTCACTGTTGGTAAAGGGAGAAGGAGGACCCATAGGTGTTGTCAGGTGTGAAGTCTGTTGAGAAACGTCCTGGTGGCTTATATCGAGTTGTGAGCGCGATGACGAGCGCCCCGGAGAATCCAAGGACTGAGGCCACTGAAACCGCGCCGCATGTATTCCGTTCGCTTCGAGCATCTTTTCGAGCGTCCGGATCTGTGCCAACATGGGTGCCTTCTCTCTCTCAAGCTCCTGTGTGTAGCCACGGCGCTCCGTGCGACCGGTGACGCGATCCGTGACATAGCATTCCAAGTTCTGACTAATGCAATGCGAACACCCTTCGGGCAACGCATCGCAGCGTATTTTGCGGACCTGATCAAGTTTTGCCATGTTAGATTGCTCTTTGGAACGTCGAGAGTCGTGGTTTCTAAGCCGGGAATTGTGCTGCAGCGCGACTGGGAGGGTTGAGCCATGTCATCTTCGATCAAAAACACGATCTGAGGGAAGACAGCGCCAAGAGGCAGTGCAAGATTCAGCCGTGCTTGGCCTCCACGGGTAGGTGCGTGGCCAGATTCGTCATACTACTCCAACAGGCAAGGCCGCTCCGAAAATCGAAGTGAACCGACCGGCGTGCTGGTACGATGATTAAAGAGCGTATTTCGATTTTGCTCACCTTGCAACGATCGCATGCTTGACCTGTACGCGTGTACGACTGAAGCTTGCTCTTGACCACGCTTGAGAAGTCGCTCTGCGTCGATCCCCGTTGTGTCCGCTGCGACTTGACTTTGATGCTGTGTTCGTCCGATGGGTTGCCGTCTGCTGACTCGCCAGTCCTTTTCGAAGGCCGGCCGGGCGGCATGGCGCTGTCGAGATCTGCAGCTCAGTCTAATTCCATCAAGGTGCCAAATAATCTCCTCTAAACGTCACGATTCTCGCAAAGCCCGCGCGCCGTAGTAGACACCCATACTGGTGATGGAGTGGGCGCTAGTGTGATGTCTCGGTAGCGTCCCTAGCAAGCTTCTCGAATGAAACTTGCCCAGGCGAGGGACTGTTGCCTATTGCTCCGAGCCGTCGTTCCGTGAAATGGCGTTTTCCGAGCGACTGAGGCGTGCAGCTGATTGCGTCGTGGAGTGAGAGAGCCTCACACCACCGCTTGCGAAACGTTGTGAGTTATGATAAAATGGGATGGCTGCCGATACTGTATCCGAGGTGGCTCGCCAGAACGTTTGCATGTGTCCACTATTGTGCCCCACGTTCCCCAGGGCTGGGTGGTCCGTGCGCACAGAGAACTCCGCTCAAGGGAAGCCGGACACCGATTTCGAATCGGACTGTAGAAGATAGATGCCATTTTTTTAAAGGTCATAACTTCTTTGCAGGAAAGGAGCAGCGCGTATTATGTGAGGTTGTCGGTTGCGACTTGGTTTCTGGTATTGTAAGGATGAAATATATGGAGATAGTCTCCCGCCTTTGGGTTTCCGTAATGTCCGCTCATGGGACGCTCGTGGATCTGGGATGGTACCCAGCAGAATCCTTTCTATTCTATCACCTCTTTATCGACTTTCACGAAGACGACCCGGACGTTGTTCCCAAACTAACGCGACCAGCTTCCGCCGTTAACGCCCAGCCTTTCCCGTGGGAATAAATGTTCCTCCTCCCCCCCCGGCTCCTTCACGACAATGACCGTCAGTGACACAAATATGCTCACAGACCATTTAGGACATGACATGACATGTCCCCCAAGAGAGTGAGAGAGACATCGAGATGTACACGGTCGACATCGCATTTGTGGGGCATATGGACCCCTGAAATTTAACCGTAGTGCGGGGTCGAATAACACAGTAGGATATAAGTCTAGTTAGAGTCTAAGCTTAGATTCCTCATCTAGAAAATCAATATGTACCGCAAATAGTACTGTACTGGGAGCGTAATATATGCTATTTACCTTGAAGAAAGCTATGTTGATAGTGCTGTTCCTTTAACAGATTGCCTGCGTAGTCGTATAACTCGCTACGGTTCCAGTGCTCTACATATTGCCCAAATTGACGGTTACTTGGTGCGGTAACAACAGCAATCCTTCTTCCATCCTTTGAGACGCGCGAATCTATAATAGGTCCTTCAGGAATTAAAGCAGTAACGGTTTCGAAGAAATGCGGACGGCCCCGACGCCTTTCTATCTTCCCAACTTCAATCTTGTCATCCAGCCAGGCTGCAATTAACTTGGTTTCCCCGATTCGAAAAGTGTGAGCGATCTCCATGCCGTTCGTGTCTATCTCCTTCATTTTCCCATTATCCATTGTCCAGAGAAAGAGTCGACCATTTGCGAGAACAACCTCGTTATCCGACAACTGCGAAAAACTGATAACTATGTGTTTTCTTAGCTGTTCTGTCAGATGTTCTTTCGAATAATGTAGTCTGCATGATAAATCAACTACGCTGTATACTCGGATTGAGGTCGGCCCTGCGACGGTTTCTGAACAGCAAATAAGCACATACAGCTCTTTTTGCCATTTAATTAAGCCTGCAGTAGAGTAGGGTACTTGAACTGGCAATGTCTGCAAAGTGCGGTTTCCAACATCGAACAGGCGTTGATAGGTACCTGTTCGGTCGCCCTCCTTATGTAGGAAATAGCGGGAGTCCTTCGAAAAGGACATCGACTGCTCGCACTCTTGTGCAGAGAGTCGACCAGTATAGATGATGGAATCTTTTTTTCGGTTCTCTACCGTCGTTATTGTGACCCTCTTTTCTTCGTTAATGTACGCTATGTATTTCCATCGTCTGAAGAGCATTGGGGCCGCGGGAATGGGTACTTTGCGGACAACCGTGCTACGAGACCCATTGGGATTATTGTAGATGGACTCAATCAGGCTAGGGAGAACACATTTACTTTATATTTTCCGTGATATATGACCTCGGAACAAAGTCTTTACATTATAAATACTAGAAAATCAAGCCACAATATGATGATTCCTGCCTAACACTCCGAAAGGCGTGGTTCATCGGTCATAGGACGTGAGCGGCAGCGTCCGGAGGGCTTCGAGCGCTAGTAACGGCGAGGCGCCCTATGATCTTTACCGCGCTTTCGGGTAAGCCGACGTTCTGCGTGGCAGGTGCCGTTCGCAAGCTTCCGAAAAAGATATCCAGGCGGAATCCTGTTACTAGGGCTCCGTCTTGCCTTATTGCTCTGCTGTTTGTATTTCAGCAGATATCTAGTAGACCGTAAACCAGATGGTGCCTTTACATACCGTATGATGCTCCAAAGTTTGGCGCCTTGTATCACTACTTACCTGTTGCTGTCACGTTGTGGCCTGCAGCATTGATGGCATTTGTCGCAACTTCTCGAAGCCCACTCAACACCATGTAGTCGTCACGATCATGCCGGGCAAACTTGATAATCTCGAAGTGCGGATGGTTGATTAGACAAGTGTGATCTCCTTTATTTGCTTCTTATAGATAGGCTGTATTAGAATAGTCCGATATGAGGATCGTTTTCGGCCCGGTAATTCTCTATTGGCCGTTCTCTAACTGCATACAAATAGATCGGGGTGAGTTTCTTAGATGAGCGCAATGCCAGATTCGCTTATACATAGGCGAGTATGCGCTCGAGGCCCAAAGGAAGATTGAGCTTCCGCAAACAGGCGGAAGGACATCCAACACGTGGAGAGCTGCGACTGGGAAGCACTACGGCATTGACGCTCGCAGAATCACTGGCATACACAATACGAAATGTCTCAGCAACGTGCTCACAGACGGAGGCCCGCTAAGCGCTGCGACGCTGTGTCAACAGCTTCGAGGATGTCTACCTATTCTTGTCGGCACACAGACGAGCAGCACTCCCGCAAATCCTCTAGCTGATTGTTCACTGGTCATGGCTCCCTCCAATTTGAGGAGATGCGAGCAATGCTGGTGGGGTATCACCAGCGCCCTACCCGCGAGCTGTCGGAGTGGCGAACAACGGACGGGGCCAGTGTAACGCTATTCTGGCGCTTCTGCCGCATGTGTCGCGGTTGAAGCAGTTTGCCCTGCGGATTGACACGACCAAGCCATACGACTCGCATGGCATGTTCAACAGAATCATGACTGAGATGATGCTGTCAGGAGCATCGACGTCGATCGAGAACATCCTCTTCCACACACCCGCCGAAGATGTCGGCACCGAATTTTCCACTGTGAAGCGATTTATCAAAATCCCGATATTCCGTCTCGAGTTTCATAGGGCACCTATAACGACCCCATCGTGAATGTTGTCGGTCATTGAATCCTCGACCCAGGCGGTACAGCAAGCTCTCGAGGCACGTAGCACAGCTTGTGGACCCAGACGACAGGCTTACCAAGCGGTTCATAACATTGCAAGCGATATACTACCCGGCGGAAGCATCGGCTGCAGTCCGCCGCTGGAGTGGCAACGATGATCAAAGCGTTCCGCTGCCTGTGCTTATGGGCGACGAGGGTCTGGGGGGTTGAGCCCCTTCCTCATCGCCCAAGCCGCCAATCTACAAGTCATGTCTACTGCCGACCCTGTGTAGCTCCTAGAGGAGATTGTCTTCGACGAGTATGCCTTGACCTAAGTAAACGACGGCATGCTGACGACGTTATCATACGGATTGTTCTCTAGAAGCTCGAACTACAGCGATGTAGAGTCGGGGCTCCTCAAAAGAGCAAATTTCCAAGGAGCGCTTTGCCTGCCTGGTCCTTCGATATACATTCGCCTAAGTCGAGCCCAAATTGCAGTAACTTCTGCGCCAGACGTACGTTTTGGACCATGGCACGGCTCGCTAATCCCCGTCGGTGTTGAAGGGTAATCGAGTCTAATATGCTCGCAAGCTGGCCTTCATGGGCGTATAATGTGTCGCTCTGCGGCCGTGCTCCTATCACACGGATCCCCTATCAATCAGAGCCACGTACTAACCATTGCCGACATGACAGTCGTACCAAGTAGCGATTCATCTTGAGCTGCAGCAACCACTTCATGTACCAGCGCGGAACAGAAGCCATATTAGTCACATCGATCATATCTTCGTTATTGAGACAACGGATCATTTCAAATTCTTCGCGACTGTGTCCCCAATCACAGAGACACACGGGTACGTGCCGTTAACGAGCTCCTGGGTCGGAAGATCTTCCAACCCAGCAATGACAATTGTTGGCATTACCTGAGTGAACTAGGAACGATATCCATGTCCTGGGAGGAGATTAATATATGGATCACTGACGCTGGCGATCCGTCATTAATACTGGTCTCTGCAATCTTGTCAAAAAGCTCATGCTTGAGTAAGCAGCCAGCCATCTCGGGGTATCACAATGAATGCTATTTGAGTACACACGCCAAGTCGGTCTCTCCCAACCCAGCAGTTGGACATCATCATCATCGAGATCTCTCGACTTGTCCCAGCACCCACTTCTCAAACCATGGCCAGTAGGTGTTATGTGCCCAGTGGAGGAGTATGCGCAAACTGACAATGAGCCGGCATATGCCCTCGGGCGTCTGCGTGTTGCCCATTTCCACAGTCCTCCACAACACGACGCGGGGCTGCTGCTGCCGAGAATTGGCTTCAGAGTCATGGTCGGCTCGCGTCGCGGCCACGAGGTGCCAGCTGTGCTGCAGGACCATGACGCCTGGGAGGAAGGCGAGCTCCTCGAGAGCGGCGCGCCACGCATCTGTGCCCGCGGCGAGGCTGGCGTATCTGGCCACGACGAGGTGGCGCAGGCACTGGAACTGCGCCGAGAGCCAGGTGCCGAGCTGCAGCAGTGCCTCCTCTTGGTCCGGCTTGCGCGATTTCGTCTCGATGCTGATGGCGATGGGGTTCTGCATGTAGACTCGTACGCCGTATGGTTGATGGCGACGCCGTCGCGCACGAGGGCCACAATGCGTGCATCTGCTCGTCTTCGAAGGGTGATGCAAAAGTCCACCTTCTTCGTGTTGTGGTTGCTGCTGTTGCTTGGCATTGCATATGTACTGTACTCGGATCGGATCGTGGCCGCCGTGCAATTGGACGCGCGGAATTCGTCGTGGTGGCCGTCCAGAGCCAAATTGAGCAGCGGTTGATGGACCTCGCAGTTCCAGGCAGCCTCGGCGTCGAGTTCGTCCTCACACTGACGCGCGTCGTTCATGATTCGCGTTAGGGCCTCAATGCTCGGGGCCGGATTTTGGAAGTGGCCACTGAAGATATCGTTGTCCCCATCGTTGGGCATGCCTGTGCCTGTGCTTGTGCTCGGGGTGAACCACACAGGCCGCGCAAGCTTCCAGAACCGAGAATCAATCTGAGAGTGAGCGAGAATGGGCTCTTGCAATTGACTCCACACAAACTGCCGGTCGGCATCGAGCTTCCCCAGCTTGGCTACTATGCGGCTCAACGGCGGTGGTTCTGATCCGTTAAAGAAGGCTAGATCAATTGCCGTGACAAGCATGACCTGGCGGACTGTGCGATTTCGCTTCGATGGAGACGTCCGCGAACTCGTCGTGGTGGTGCTATCGGATCGAGGAGGGGCTGGGGTTGGGTCAGGGAAGATCGTGTCGGGTCGTCTCTTAGGCGTTTCGTCTGCATCCTCTTCGCGAGTACTCTCACCGCCCTCCTCTTGCTGCTCATTATATTGATCGATCTCGAAGTCATCTTCGGCCCTGCGCTTTGCTCGAGGGGTGAGTGGCTGATTTGACATCGCCAGACGATTCGTTGCCGTCTTGGTCGTCTTCTCGTCGAGGTCCGATAGGTCCGGTGATGGGTATCCCACTTGTCGCTTGCGCTTGCGCGTGTCGGGCTGGTTGGCCGCCTTCTCGGCGATGATGGATTGTTGTTCCTGTTCTTGTTCTTCTTGTTCTTGTTGTTCCGAAAGCCAGTCATGAATGGTGCCTGTCGTGCCATACATCGTGACTCTTAATTGCTATCGCTCGGCTTGCTTCGTGGGTTCGCGCGCGCTTGCTATCGCAGCGTTGGCTGAGATTACTTCAGTAGCTGGGGGTTTGGAATCATCGTTATTGAATCATCAATTGATGCGTCGCGTCCAGTGTTGATGGAGAGCACTTTAATGCCCCCACATGCGTTGTCCGGTCAGCGGGGCAAGTGGGGCTCCGACTGAGGCTCTGGCAGAATTGCGCAAGCGCCGCTTCTGAAAGCAGTCTTCTTCGCGTAATAATCGTGTTGGACTACGACAGCATTCATATAAATGTTGTGGGCTGTCGCACCGGCTTTTGCGATGGATTGACACAAGCTGCTGACATTGGCAAGCAATAGCTTGAGAAACTCATCCAGCATGACATGCTCTCCGGATTGTAGTCTTCTGCCGGTCAAGAACTTGTGCAGCGCACGGCCAGTTGGTGGACGAGGAGTTTCGGGAGAGAATATTCTCTGTTCTATAATGGTATTCCTGAGAAATGTACAGGCCTTCGTCGACTCTGTCACGTTCCAAGTTTTCAGAAGCTCCCGTAGTGTGACCGCGGACAACCAGAGCGCGCTAATTAATCGAAGTAGCCGAGACTCTGCCATGCTGATAGAGGAGTAAGTGCCAGACTTCTGTAGCCCTTGGTCTCGAGGGGTCCCGTCGTCATCGCCCGGCAGAAAGATTAGAGACATTGCATGCAATCGTTCCCATAGTCCCCGCTCGTTCTGATGCGCGAGGAACCCGATCCTCCCGAAGAAGTGAAGGAGTGTCATTTGTGATGCATGCCTGACCTGCGCTGCGCTTCAGTGCAATACCATAGTAGACAGGCTATCATCAGGTGCTATCGCTACTCTTCCATGTGGCCCGCAACCTCTATCAATGACATGCAATCGACGACGGAGAAGTCTTCGAGAACAATGTGCTGCGCATCATCATCGCCCAAGCACCGGTCGCTACTAGCCTTTGGTCCCGCGGAGAAAAGCTTTTTGTCTTTGAGCTTGATCCGCTTCAGCTGCACAGCGAATGCTTCCTGGTGCAAGTTGGCGTCCTCGAAGATCTGCACCCATCCCGCCCGGTCGAGCCATGGCTTGCTCTGAGAGATGGCGGTCCGTCTGTCGTTTGGGTCTTTCCTTGCCGTATCGTAGTCCGAGATAGTAGGCCTACAGGGTGTCTTAGGAGAATGCCGTTCAGCTACACGGCCAGGCACTGGCCGGACTGTACTCCCATCTGCACCATTAACGGTCCAATATCGTCGATTCGGCCCGCCACCCGCCCCAGACTGTAGGTAGACGTCGTCGTAGAGCAGGCCGATTCGCGTTGAGGTGGTTGTGAGAAAGGTGCCTTGTAAGCTCGTGGAAGCTAATCGTGAAGAAGACGCACTTGCGGCAGCTGAAGCCATCGTAAGTCTCGAGTTCCGGATGGGGTTTGGAACCACAGGGCGGTGGAACTGCTTCTGAGGGATTTTGGAATACCGAAGAGTAGTGATCGCGTATATGCTCTGGAAGTCCCAAGCGATCCGCTAAAGGGATACTATGCTTATTCCATAAGTGTGTATTAACCTGGGCTCCATCTGGTGAAACAGCGTGTCGACAATCGGGTCTACAGCAGATGAGGACATTGTATGTTAGGTCGGCGTAAAGCCGGGTCGGAGTCCTTTTCGCGTTCCGGCGTCGTTTCGGAGTCGGTTAGCAACTGGTTGCGCATCGTTCTGCTATAGGCTGTCCTACTACTGTCGGGTTTGTGGATTTGTCGGTGGATCACATTAGTGCAAAATATGGGGGTAGAAAGGAAATCTGGGGTAATGGGTATTGAGTGAATTCGCGGGAAAAGGGACTAGAATGAGACAGACCTGCTACGTGCACAGACCTTTCGTAGGACATGACATGTCCAGGAAGGCAATGAGCGAGACTTCACGGCATGCAGGGATTCTGTTGGAGATGTGGGGCGCGTGGATCCCTTGGATTTCACCTAAAACCGCCCTGGAATAAGACAGGAGTCGAGCCCCAGCCCACAGCGCCAGCAGCAGCTTCCTTCGACAAACTGGAGCCCTGTCCGCCACTCGATGTAGTCCGCCTTCTTGATTACACGACACCTGTGCAGCCCGTGCCCGTACGACCTCCTGCTTGATGCCGGTGACCCTACTATCCGCCACTGTACGTAGCACACAGCACATTGGCTCTCTCCTTCGACCGCTTCTAGCCAGTTCCGGAGCAGCTCTTTCCTTTGCTGCTGCTGTATCTGGCGCTCCTGGAACCGGTTTGATACGTCTAGTTCCTCCTCTCCGGATTCTTCATCTTCCGATTCCTCCTCCTCCGCCGTACTGTCGTCTGCCGTCTCCTCGTCACTGGCCGCTCCGCCCTCACACCAGTCGCACCGTACCGCCCCGATCGTATCACAGTCCTCCCCTTCTACCCCATCCATGAACCTGCCCAGCACCGCTCGCCGGCACTCTCCGCCCCTGACGAACTGCTCGATCGCCAGCCGGTTCGTCCTCTCCACGTCCGTCTCTCGGCCTTCAACCTCCTGCCGCCTCTTCTGCTGCCCTGGCCCTGCCTCGTCTGCAAGCACGATGACCGCCTCGACCACCTCCCCGTCCCTGCGGCCGCCGCGGCCCGTCTGCTGAATGTAGTCCACTAGCCCGTACGCCTCTTCTGCGTGTAGAATCACGCTGATTCCGGGAATATCTACGCCTGTTCCGAGACCTGTCGTTGCCGTGATCCACCGGGACGCGCTGCTGCCGTTCACCCATGCCTCGAGTACCTCCTCTCGCGCCTGGGTCTCCATCCCGCTATGGTAATACCCGCACCCGATCCTCTCCGCCAGCTTCTGGCTATCCTTCTTCGACCGGCAGTACACCACCCCCTTCCTATCGCCGTCAAGCGACCCGGAGCTCTTCCTCTCCTCGACCAGTCGTACGACCTCCTCCTGCACCGCGTTTCCAACCTTCCGGCCTCTTCCTAGTCCGGCCCTACTTGGGACCGTAGTAACGGCGTACCGGATGTTCCTCTTCGTCGTTCGTGCCCGTATAATCTCGGCGTCTTCCGCAATCATCTGCTGCCGGAACCAGCCCTCTAGCTTCACCGGGAGCGTAGCCGTAAGCAAGATTACCGGACAGTCGTACCGGTACAGCCCCTTCAGCTCCACGAGCCTCTTCCGGTAGCCGACGTCCATGATAATCGTGTGGCACTCGTCGATGAAGATCCGCCGTAGCAGCCTCCGGCTCCGTAGCGTATCTGCGTAGTTGCAGAACTCGTAGTTGCTTGCCTGGTCGGCGCTGACCACGACTAGACTGGCCACGCGCACGAGCGAGTTGGCTTCCCGGCCCTCCTCCTCAGCCGACCTCCAGCGCACGCAGTCGATCCCGAACGAGCGTGCCCGCGCGACGAGATCGTCGATCAGCGCCACGAACGGAACGACGACGATACTAACGCCGCCGTTTACCCCTCGTACCGCCGGGACCATAAACAGCAGACTCTTGCCGCCGCCCGTCGGTAGTACGACGATGAGTACGGAGCCGCCTCGCATCTGCATGAGCCGGACCATGGCCGTCCTCCAGCGCGCCCCGGCCCCGACGATCGACTCGAGCCCTTGCTGGATCCGGCGCCTGATCTCCCCGATAGCTTCTGGGAGCGCCTTCCTCTGTTTCGCCGGTTGTGGGCTCGGCTCCGTCGTCTCCATCCTACCCAGGAGTTCGCTATCCTCGTCGAACGATTCGGCGTCCGTAGACTCTCGCTTCCGCTTCCTCGTCCGCTTCTGGGCCTTGTCCAGCGACTTGCCCTTACTACCCTGGCCATCCCAGCTCAGATACTGGTGCCAGAGCCGGCTGATCTCGCGGTAGTTGGCGATCATCTGCGGCTGTAGCTGCCCTGGGAACTGGATGTTGATCGCGTAGTGCGAGCGCGCCATGGCGCTGCTATGTGTCGCCTGCAGATCCCAGATCAACTCCGTCCGGTCCCTCGGCCGCAGCTCGCCGGTAGCCTCGTCGAAGTCCTCGTCCTCGAGCCCGTATCCGTCATCGGCCGCACCGACCTCGAGCTCCTTCTGCTGTACGACGAGCCCCTGGATCGTCCGGCCCAGCTCGATCGCTAGATGCCGGTACGCCGAAGTGCCTAGTTCGACGCCGAGATAGCCTGTCGTAGCTGATCGGAGCTCCCTCGTTAGCACCTCTGTCCCCCAGCGGCCCTTCCGCGTGTCCTTCCACAGCCAGTGCCGTAGCGAGTCGGACGGCTTTCGAGCCCGCGTCGCATCGAGTAGCATCTCCTCGAACGGGATTAGCCAGACGAGATAAGCGACGATTAGTCGTCCGATCCGATCCGGTAGAAACCGTGCGACCTTCCGGCCGTAACCGCGGATCGACTTGGCCTTGTCCCGGTCCGTCACGAGCATTACCTGCCCGTCGTAGACGTACACGCTCCGGCTAAGCTGCTTCGTATCTAGATACCGTACGCTCGTGATCTCGGGCCCTCGGCCTGGCTGGCCCCCCCCAGACGTGCGTTAGCACGAGCAGCTGGCTCTTCAGCGTGCCGATCTGGTTCAGCCACTTCTGCGACCTCTCCCGGTGGTACTGCTGCCGCTGCGCCGACCAGAGCTTCTCCGAGACCAGCTCGGCGACGACGCGTGGCCCGCCCCGGAGCTTGCTATTCTCCGGGTTCGTGATAAACGACTTCCCGTCGCCCTCGTATAGCACGCTATCGCGGATCTCGCTAAACTCGATCCGTTCTAGAAGCGCCGCCGACTGGCCGTATAGTAGCCCGTCGAGCGTCGATTCGGCTGTCGAGACGAGCCCCTGGGCCATCTGCCGGAACTTCTGGACCTCGATCCGGAAGCCGTGTAGCCGGAGCGCCTGCCTCCCGTCCTCCCAGATGATCGTTGCGGTACCGCCCTCCTTCTGGCGGTAGCCCTTCCCAATTGTCATAAAGCGATTTATCGTACTGAACGGGCTATGTGAGCCGTCTGCGATCCATTTCTGGTAGCCTCGGAGAAACGCTTCGACGTCCTCGCTCTGTAGTTGACGATGCGTGCCCTGGCTGGCCTCGCGAACGCTCTCTCCGGCCTCCTCCTCCTCCTCCTCCTCCTCCTCCTCCTCCTCCTCTT